CGCGAGCGCAGCCAGCCGCGCCTCCAGATCCTGGAGGTCCAGGGGGACCTGGTCGAGGTCCGGCAGCAGCCGCGAGCAGTGCTGGCCCGCGCAGTCCAGCCCTTCGGAGTCTTCCACCCAGGGCAGTGTTGACGGTGTCAAAGCTGTTGTGCCGGCTGTGCATGGAGTCAGCTAGAGGCGGCCAGCCGCTCCCCGCCATACGGGGACGCCGGGTGCGAGTCGGAACAGCACAGGGACAAGTTGGAGGAGCGCACCGAGTCCGCCGCGCCACCATAACCCGAGTCCAGCGTCAGATCCTCCAGCGTTCGGACTACGGGCTTCTTACCTCTCCTGGCCATCGCTGCGCCACTTCATGCTGCGGCCGCCGGAGAGCCGGGGGTAAGGAGCAGCGAGCGGCGGCGGGCGCCGGGGCGCGGGGAGAGCCGAGTCCGCTCCCGCTCGGCTCACTTTTCCACCAGCCGCTACTCCCAAGCGCTACTACTTTCCGCCGCCTCCCCGAGCCGCCGCCGCTGGAATGCACCCGGCAGACCCCGGAGTCATCTTCCAGAGTCCGGGCCGGAGCTGGGCGCACCGAGGAGCGGGCCACCGGGACTCGCCCCTTCCTTCCAAAATAAAATGAAAAGTATCTGACCTTCTCCTTCCTGGGCCCGGCCGGGTGCACAAGCCGCCGGGCGCCGCCTCAGTGTTCGTAAGACGGAAATCAACTCCGATGCCCGCCCCCGCAGAAGCAGCTCCCGGCGGTAGCTGGCTCCCAGCTCCGGGCTCCGGGCTCCCGGCTCCCAGATCCCCGCTCGGGGATCTCTCGGCTCCCGCCCGCCCTGCACTGAAGCGCAGCAGAGACCGCGGCGGCTGAACACCCTGGCCAAATCCCGCAAACCCCGGGCAGCCTGCGGGGCGGGCATATGTAAAGCAGGACCCGAGGAGAGCCAATGGTATCAGAGGATGCTATACCTCCCCTTTCTTTTTTTTTTTTTAATTCTTCAGCTCCACGCATCCCCGCCCCTCACACACGCCCCCTGGCTGTAATCAAGGCTACAGGAAGCGGGGAGCAGCCGCCTGAGAATTGGGGGGCCTGTGAGAGCGTAGGGACGCAGAAGTCCCTGCTGCTGTCCCTGCCCCTCAGACTCCCAGCTTTGGTACCAGAACGGGAAGGTGGTAGGTTGGGCAGGTGATTCCGCCCTCACCGAGGTGCTCCCCTTGGCTGTTCATACAGTGTCTGCTTGGGGTCGCTGGGCCTGCTGCGGCGTTTCGGATTTCACTTCCTTTTTTCTTTACTACACGAAGCACGTTTTTTTTTCTGCCTCTCCACTCTCCCTCACCTTCGGGTACCCAAACCAATGGAGGCGGCCCTCTTTCAGCCCGTTTGCCCTAGTGGAGATAAGAAACCAGGCGAGCTGAGGGGCCAGAGAGATGAGACCACAGGAAGGCCGAATCTCTGGACTGTAGCCACCTGCCACCAGGGCACATGAACTAGGTACCGTTCAGTAGCCAAGAAGACCCTGCGCCCATCCTTCAAACCCTGGAGTGGGGGAGGGGGGAGGGAAGGCTCATGTCCCACTTTGCTGTCCTGGTGGGTATGGTTCCAGGCAGTTCAGCCTTAAAAAGGGTAAATTTGCACCAAGGGGAGTTTACTGTTGGACTAAAGAAAGATACAACGTATATGTGTGACTTGGCTGCATGTATGTCAAATGGCATCGTCTTGTTTGTCTACACCCATCAGGCCAGAAACCATATCTTCTTCCCCTGGGTACTCCCAGCTCCCATACAACATCCTCCTGGGATAGGACACCCTCTTCCTCTGGCTGGCTAGACTTTTCAGCGTAGAAGTCCCCTCCTGTAGCAAGGTAGCCCAGATCCTTCAATGCTGGCTTGGGTGCTTGGACTGACACCCCCCCCCCCCCCCGCCGCCGCCCCCCCACATACACACCTCATGACTCCTGAGGCTGCTGGTTTCTGGGCCCTTGTAACAATGGTTGTTTCAGTTTGATAAGATTTCTAACTTGCACATTGGACTAGGGGTTCCCCATGCATAAGCCCTCAGTAAATATGTGTTGTTAATGGGTGGATGAAGGAAGGACACACTTTTGAACTGTGGGTTTGATGGTTCAACAGTAGACTTTCCCAGATAACCCAGTAGATTGTCTGATGTTTCTCATATCTGTCAACCCAAATCCACCATCACCCCTCCCTTCGCATCAATGAACCACCCTCACCCTGTAGCTACCATCCGAATCTATATCTCATCATCTCTCACTTTGACTATTATTATATTCTACCAACTGGTTTCCTTCTCTCTTGCCTCCTCTTTCTCTAAACCATCCAGCCCAAGAATCTTCCAAAAGCACAGTTCTGATCTTGTAATTCCTCTCAAGAACAACTTAAAAGGCTCCCCCTTGCCCTCTAGATCAGTGGTTCTCAACCTTGGCTGCACATTAGAATCACCTGGGAATCTTTTTAAAATCCTGATGTCTGGGCCTCATCCTCAGGAAATTCTGTTTCTTCGTTACTAATGTTGTGGCCTCACCCCATAACAAAGAAACAGAATTTCTGGAGGATGAGGCCCAGACATCTGGAATTTAAAAAGATTCCCAGGTGATTCTAATGTGCAGCCAAGGTTGAGAACCACTGCTCTAGATAAATCAAGTTTGTACTGATTAGCTGACCTTCACTGATCTCTTTACTCTGTTCCCAGACTCGCTTTCTGTAATATTCCAAGCCTTTCAGAAGGGATTATGATGGTTAATTTTATGTGTTAATTTGAGTGGGCCGTCTACCAGTAAACATGGTTTCTGGATATGTCTCTGAGAGTCTTTCCATAAGAGTTAGCATTTGAACCTGTGGACTCAGTAGATTGCCCTCCCCCACGTGGTTTTTCCCATCACTGATTCAGCTGGGACATCTTGTCTCATCTCCAGCCCTTAGATTGGAATTGACATCATCTGCTCCCCTAATTCTCAGATGTTCAGGCTTGAACTAAATGACACCACCAGCTTTTCTGGGTCTCCAGCTTACAAACGTCAAATTAGGGGGCTTCTCAGCCTCTATACTACCACAAGCCAATTACTCATAATAAAACTGTATTTTTTTCTGTTTTTCCAGAGAACCAGAACCAATAGGACGTGATATATATCTGGAAACCCATCTAATACTGATGGTCTTATGATCTGAACCTTGCCTTCCTTTGTAGCTCTCCATCATCACATAGACACACAGACACAGATATATTCACACACTACACAGACACATGCACACCTGTTAATAAACACAGACACTCGGATATACTCACAGACCCACACAGGTACCTGCACACCCATGAATGAACACACACACAATGAACACACACACACACACACACACACCCTGTGCTCTAGCTATCCTGAAATCACTTGCTGGTTTTCCATGTTACCATGTTGTCCTTGTATCTTATATGCCTTTGCAGATATTGTTCCCTATGCTCAGGACACTTGTCTTCCTCTTTTCCTCTTGGCGAAGTTCTCATCTCTATGATTCAGCCCCAAGATTATCAACCCCTGTGAAATTTTTCTCGATGCTGCCTGCTCTTCACCCAGCCCAGCCCTGTAGACACCTGGGAAGGTGTCTCCAACTCTGTAGCTCAGGGTTTCTTCCCAGGACCTTTTCTCTTCTCTGCATATTTCCCTGTGAGCTCATCCACTCCTGTGCCTTCACTTACCATCTATGTGCTGATAATGCTTGAGTGACGACCACTCAGCAGAGTGCAAGCAGCAAGAGCACCCTGGACAAGCCTTGTGCATAGGGAAAAGAGAGGCGGGGAAGCAACAGGCTTATCGCGGGTTTATTTTCTTCTGGTGGCACCAGGTCCACTTGGGTTCCAGGAGTGCCTCTGTCAGTATTCTGATGATGGACCCAGTGTTCATTCAATCTCCTTTATCCTTCCTTTTCTTGCACTGGGAGTGCACAAAATAATCACCCCCATGGGGGTGGGGTTAAATGAGATGTTTCCATATACAGGATTTAACAGTGTCCCACACATGATAATAACCCTTTACGTGTCTGTTACCATCATCCACATTTTCCTATTTTCTACAATAAACAGTTATTTCTTAGAGACTTGGTGAAAAAAATGACAGATGTTACATATAAATCCAACTTCTGCTTCAAGGCTGGGCTGCAATACTACCTCCTCTCGGAGGATTTTCCATGTCAGTAGACCTGCTGTTCCCTTTCATGCCACAGATGCTTTGCACGTGTCTTCTCTCACCTTCCGGAGGGCACACTCCTTGTAAGCTGGGATCTTGCCCCCAATATAGCACCAGGACTAATGAGCATGTTCCTTAGTATTATGAATAACCAAAGTGGATGTCCATTTAGTTTACTGAAGGAAATCATTAATGCCCTGGCCAGTTGCTCAGTGGTTAGAGTGTCAGCCCGAGGACTGAATGAAGGGTTGTGGGTTTGATTCCTGATCAAAAGCATCTACTTTGGTTGCAGGCTAAATACCCAGCCCCAGTGGGAGGTGGGCATTGGGGAGGCAACCAATCAATGTGTCTCTCTCACCTCTCTCTCTCTCTCTCTCTCTCTCTCTCTCTCTCTCCCTCTCCCCGCCCCTCACTTTCCCTCCTTCCCTTCCACTCTCAAAAATAAACAAATAAATAAATAAATAAATGGAAAAAAATATCCCCGGGTAAGGATTTAAGAAAATAACGAAATCATTAATGATAATGTTAAGTGTCTGAGTCTGAGTGACCTGAAAAAACACTGAAGATAGCAAACAAATCAGTCAAATGTTAAATATTAGCCCCATGCTATTAGAAAACTCAGTGTCTGCAAAGAATGAAAAAGGAAATTTAAATCATCCAAAATTCCACCTCACAGAAGTCATCAACATGAACAACTTCATTCTTTTCCTCTAGTCTTCCTAATTTGCCCCATCTTTTTTCTTCCAAGCATACATATTTTAAGAGCTAGAGTTATTCTGCACGTTATTTTGCATTTTAATTTTTTCCTCAAGAAATTTCCTAAAACTTGATAGTATAATCATTCCCCATGCTACTAAATATTCATCCAAAATATTCTTGTCTGTGTGGCTGCAAAATATTCCAAGATATGTTTATACCTTAACTGGAGAATTTTGAATCCCCATTTGGTTGTTTCTGTTTTCAAACTGCCGTAATAATGCTGAGATGGCCCTCTTTGTGCATAAATAACTCTTTTCTTCAAAACCAGAAGTCTTATGTGTGTTATCCTCCAAGAAATACAGACACACAATAAGCATATACTAAAGATTCAAAAAGAAACAAAAAGAGAAATTAAATTACTGGGATTATTTTGCCTATCAGATTAGCAAAGATTTATAAAGTCATCATGATGAATATGTGTCACGATGAAGCATAAATTGAGGCAGTCTTTTGAGAGGTCAGTTTGCCAACATGTATCAAAATGTCAGTGTGTGCTCATTCCTTACGATTTCCCAGAAATCACATCTTCTGATATTATCCAGGGTGATCCTTGTGAATTTTTTCAAAAGTATACAGGATGCTCTTGGTAGTGTTGTTTTAACATAGGACTTTGGGAAACAATCTCGGTGCCTTTCAATAGGCCTGATGAAATGAATTACAGTAATCCATCCAAGGGAATATGAAGCAGGGGCAAAGAGTAATGGTGGTGATCTTTACTTCCACGACATATTGATTAGGGAAGAAATGTTTGAAAAGAGGTTTGGGAATTGCACATATAATATGATCCCATTTATGTAAAATGCTTTACGTGGAGCTAAATATGTATACAGCTGTGCCTCGATTTATTGCCCTTTGCACTACTGCACTTTACAGATGTTGCACAACCCTCCACCAGAAAAAAAAAAATCATAACTTGCTTTATTGCAGTGGTCTGGGAGCAAACCCACAATGTCTCTGAGGTATGCCTGTCTAAGCATGTGAACTTGCCTGAAATGATGAAAATAATAGCTATAACTAGTTCGTTGGATTTCTGGTGATTTTTGAATGAGTTTTATTGATCCTCGTTCTATCCCTGATGTCTTTTGTGTTCTGGTGATTTTTAATTTTCTTCTTTGTACTTCTGAACTTTTAATGATAAACACGTATCATTTTTACCAGAGCCAGAAAGCTATTTTCTAAAGAAAATTAAATTATGTTCTGCCCATTACTTGGAAGCCTACCTGTCAATCAGAGTACTAATATAGAATTCTTTGTCCTTCAGCATTCTAGAAACCAAACAGCAAGCATAGCAACTAACCCAACAACCAGAACGTGAACTAGCCTCATTCAGAGGGACTCGCACATGTTGGGGGCTTCACCACATGCTTCCCACACATCTACTGTGCGTGAGTAGCAAGGCCATGTGGGCTTAAAGCGTGGCCCCACTACTTCCTGACTACATAACCGTGAGCAAGTTCTTCAGCCTCTCCATGCCTTCGTTCTTCAATTGGGAACAATACCACACGCCTGTAGGTTGCCCGTGAGAATTAAATAAGATCATCTGAACAGAGTCGGGCCAGCCCTGTAAATAAATGCTCACTAGTGTTGGTTACTTTTATTACAGGTCAGACACAGTGATGGTTGGGGCAGGTGGGGGCGGGAGGAAGGCTATGGAGTCTTCACCTCCCTCCTGGGTATTGCTGTTGTTTAGCTTTTGGTCCAAAGACAGACATCAATAAGAGCTGCAAGTGCAATGAGTGTCAGCAAAGGGGAAGTTCAAGGATTACACACCTGAATTAACAGATTATGTATGTTTCGCTGCACCATTTCTGGGCGAGCTCCTTGCAAATATCAGCTGTTTCCTAAATGCATAGTCAGTGTGTGTGAGGCTCAGTGGCAATCCCTTTGCTCTGCGAACGTCTTTGTGAGTGGAGGACTCTGTTACTGGGTAGAAGACTATAGGGGAGTCCACCCCAATTTCAACCTGCTCCACACCAGAAAGGGAAGGATGTGCCCACTTCTTCTGAACTGTCTCCTGAAAGAAAGAATCACAGGGTCAACTTAACAGCTTGCTCATTTGCAGGGCAGATAGGGCCGCACAGCTCCAAGAGCTTTAGAAGGTAACCGTTAAACCAGGGTAGAGTTGCACCTGTCAGCAGGAGGAGGCTCTCAGAGCAGATCCCAATGTGAGTGTGGGCTTCGTAGCAGTGATTTTTCATGTGCTTTGATAAACTGGGAAACCTGCCAGCTTTCTCCCTAGAAAAGTGCATGTGTGTGCATAAACGTGCCTCGTATATATACAATTGCTATGTAATATTGGGGTTCACTGACCCCAGATTTCATCCAGGGGGGTTCCTATGGTTCATTAAGATGATCATTGCTCTATCCTTCTCATGGAATTCTAAAAGTGGAGAGGTACAGTTCTATTCATTAAGAATTTCTGCTCTGGGGAGGGGAAGGGATCCAGCCAGGAAACAGAAATGTTGTGGGGTGGGGCCACAACATTAATAACAAAGAAACAGAATTTCCGGAGGATGAGGCCCAGAAATCAGGATTTTAAAAAGATTCCCAGGTGATCCTAATGTGCAGCCAAGGTTGAGAACCACTGAGTTAGAGAGTGGATGGGAGAGCTGAGGAGCTACATGGGACATGAAGGAGACAACGAGGAAAGCAGCATCAGCAAGAAGGCTCTGCCACCTCCTGGGCTGAAGGGATGGGGGAAGATTGTGTTACCAGAGTCCGGAAGCCGAGCCATATGACAGGATCTAGAACCACAATGGAGAGGTAGCTCCATGTTGGGAAGGGCTGCCTGGCAGCGTCTGGGCTCAGGGATGAGACACAGCTGCTGCCAGGAACACAACCAGAGGCAGTCAGAGAGGGACTGAAAAACCCCTACCCTGTCCCCTCCTCCTGGACCTTCGCCTTCTTCCCATCCTTCCTTTGGCCAAACCCATCAAGAAGCTGGAGGGTGAGGGAGTCTGGGAAAGGTAGTTCTTGTGCTACAAAGTAGACAAAGCAGAGCAGGAGTAGGGCAGGTGTGGACATGAGCACAGACAAGCAAAGGACAAGTTCAGGAAGATAAGAGGATGCTTCGAGACATGTGTCTGTCACGGAGTGTCCCAAGGTAATGCTGCAGACTTTCAGAGGAGGAAGCTTTGACTGTGTCCCCCCTTGTTCCCACTGCCCTTCTCCTGGTGAAATCATCCATGGCCTCCCGTTGGGACTGTTCCCCACAGCCAGTCTCCCCACTGACAGTCTCATTTTCCTATCCAGACTCACTTCTACTCTGCTGCCTGGGCCATTTTTCTAAAACAACTCCGATCACCATCGGAAAGGAGTAGTTCTGGTCTCGGTCCAATCTCATGTGCTGCTATCTGCCCTGGTTACCTGGCCCCATACTCCCTACAGACTAAGTATAGTTTCTTAAATACATTGAGTCTTCATTCATGCTACTCCTTCTGCATTGAATGCATTTTTTTTCTTCGTGTATTGGACTCCTATGCACCCTTCAAAGCCCATCTCAAATGTTAAGAACTACCACACTTCTCCAGTTCTGTCCTATAGAACTAGCCTCTTTCTTTGTTCTGCTTCTTTAAATGTCCATCCATTACAGCCTTTATTGTTAATAATTAGTTATAATAATTATTATTGTCAGGAGCTACAGCAGCCTTCTCTTTTCTTTGTGCAATAGAGTAATAGTTAAGAGTGTGGAACTGGGGTCATAAAGACCCATGTTTAAGAACCAGTGGCTGGCTATGTGGTTTTTGGATAAGTTTTTAACCTCTGAGTTTCCAACTATTAATATTTTTATGGGGAAATCACAATGCCTCATATCCTCATAGGGTTATACTACAGAGACAATGCATGTAAGTACTTTCTCACAGAGCCTGGCACAGAAAAATGGCTCCAATAAACACCAGCTACTGTGAGCTAATCCTAATCTTTTAATTAAAAAATGAGAACGGTGTATATATAAATTTGTGAACTACTTTTTCCATTAAAATGTATCACTTTTTCCTGTCCTTAAATGTTTTTTTACATTTCCTCAACTTTTTATCTTGTAGAATTTCAAACAGAAAATTTGATAAACACCCCATCCAACCTTTACCCTGATTCACCATTGCTAACATTTGCTTTCTCTCTGTGTGTTAGAAGTGTGTGTGTGTGTGTGTGTGTATGTATGTGATTGTGACTTATATGTTCTTTTTTCTGACCTAATTGAAAGTAAGCTGCAAAGAACATGACACTTTAGCATGTATCCTACGTTCTCTTACAAGGAGCTATAAGACCATTATCACAACCAAGAAATAACATTGATATAATAATGTTTTCTAAAATAAAATTTAGATTACAATTGTCCCCAAAATGTCCTTTATAGTGGTTTTGTCTTATATCATCTGATTACTACATAGAATTCTACTAAACAGATGTCCAATAATTTGTTCAATGAATCTATTATTGTTGGACATTTAGATTCTTCCAGTATTGCATAATTATACATAGCTCTGAAAAAAATCTTTACAGCTACTTCATTATATATTTGACTTCTTATTTCCTTGGGAAAAATTCCTACAATGGAATTTGGTCCAAGGCAATGCAACATTCTAAAAGCCTGATGCATGATGCTAAATTGCCCTCCAAGAAGACTGTACCAATTGTATCCACCAGCAGTGTACAAGAGTGTCTGTCTCCATCCCTTTGACACCTCTGCTATACTCATTTTTATATTTATCAATTTAATAAGAGAGATAGTAACCCCTAACATTTATATGCCATTCCTGATGTGCAAGGTACTATCCCAAGTGTATATAACACATATCAACTTGCCTGCCCTTTAAAACAACCAGAGAACCTTCATTTTACAGACGAGGAAACTGAGGCAGAGTGGTTCAGCAGCTTGCTGAAGGTCACACAACTAGGGAGCAGCCACCCAGGCAGCTTAAATCCAGAGACTGTGCCATTACCTATTCTCTCAATAGTGTGTGAGTGTGTGTGTGTGTGTGTGTGTGTGTGTGTGTGTGATATGTTCTTTATAGTGTTTACCATTATGCTATTACCTCTCCATAGAGTATCTAACATTTATCTGATCACCCAGAAGTTGAATTTTGATCCCATATTTCTCTTTTATATCTTTGCTTGTAAGAATTCCCTGTTTACATCATTTCCTTTGGGAGTGGGGGTGGGGATAAGTCAGCCGTGGGCAAACTACGGCCCGTGGGTTTGAAATGAATAAAACTAAAAAAAAAAAAAAAAGACCGTACCCTTTTATGTAATGATGTTTACTTTGAATTTATATTAGTTCACACAAACACTCTATCCATGCTTTTGTTCCGGCCCTCCGGTCCAGTTTAAGAACCCATTGTGGCCCTCGAGTCAAAAAGTTTGCCCACCCCTGGGATAAGTCCTAAGTCTTTTCCTTAATGATTGTTAAGAACTAACTTTTTATAGAGTAAAAATATTCTTTCTTTGTCATCCATATTGTAGGTAATTCTCCATAGCTTGCCATACCCCCTTTTAATTAATTAATGGATTAATTTGCTAGCTAGCATAAGATTTTTATTTTCTTGTGGTTATGTTCGTCAATTCTTTCATTTAAGGCTGGTAAGGTTAGAAAGGCCTGCCCTGTCCTCGAGGGGATACACGCCCTCCTCTATTTTCTCTCCTGTCTTCGCATTTGACTTCCAAATCTTCAGTCCATCTTATTTCTCTGCACCTCTGCCGACACCAGGGCTGCCTTACTTCCAGACCAGACCCCACATGCCTTCCCAGGACAGACAGGAGACATTGTTTGCTGAGACTCGGCTCCCCGGCCATTTGCTCCCTCCTTCCATCCGGAAATGACACGTGAATTCTTCAGGAGCAGTGCACCCGAGACAACATAGGACTGCCCTTTCAATCTGTTTCATAAATAAGGTGTCCTTTTCCTTCCTGCTTTCCATCCAAAATATGAAACACTTGATTCGCGCTAGACAATTAAGACAAAAGCCCTGCTTCCCCGGGCTTCTCTGAAGCGGGCTGTTGAGCGGAGAGCAGTGGTAGTTGAGGGGAAAGCATGCCAAGAATTCATTTCAATTTGAAAGATCTTTTCAGGGCTTTATTTGTTCCAAGAGTTCTTTAAACGTCTTAAATACAGTCCAATGAAGTGCTTTAGGCGCTGTTTCAATACTGATTATGTCTCTTCTCCTTGAGGACAATGCTGGCTTCAATACACATTACCGTTTTCAGCCAAGGTTTGATTTTAACATTAGCCAGTCCCATTCTTTTTCTTCTTCCTCTTTGCCCAAATATTGTGACTTAAACCATTACTCACACGAAACCATTAGTGGGTTTCCGAATATACTTCAGGAGATAGATGGCAGCCCCACCGCCCAAGCAACAATGCAATGCTTGCAGTGTCTCCCAGTGT